TACTGTGAATCAGTTTGTGATTGTTTTTCCTTTCCCTTGTAAAGTAAAGCTAGTATGATACTGTGTTGCCTATACTTTTCTTTATCGATAAGGGGAGCTTTGGGAAGATGGTTGACTGTTGTAGTTTGTTGTTAAGTCCTAAATCTTTAAAGAATAAAGTGCTTTTGAGGCTGACTTCTCTTTTCTAAGAAAATTATCAAATAAGGAAATTTTTTAGGAAAAAGGGGATCAGCAGAAAGAGTTTTTTTTTTTTTTTACCATATAGTATGTAATACATTTATTATATACAAATTATTATATATATAATATTATTTCATAATAAATAAAAATTATAGAAACTCTTTTTAAGAAAAAATTATGAAATAGAGCAAGAACCTTTTGGAGAGCTTTGAATCGTATTTTCTTTCTTTCTTTTTCTTAGTACCAACTTTAGTAATTTATCATTTTTTGGGATAATTAACAATAACAAACTGCTGATAATAACTCTGATTGATTTAGAGATCCTATATCAAGTTACTAAAAGAATATAATATTGTATCCTAAATCTAACTTAGAGTATCTAGTTTAAACTTAGTTTTGTTTATTTCAAACTAGCTTAGTGGACTCCTCATATTTTTTAAGTAGTGTAGTTCTTTAACTAATAATATATAAAATGAGTTAATTGCTTTGTAAAAGTTTATAAATATAGTGATATCTTTCAATATCTCAATAAAGACATACCATTGTAACATGATTGCAGGTTAAAAAAATATTATTTAAAAAAATAATTAATATATATTATACAATATTATAAAACTTATTTTACAAATATAAAATATAATATATTTTATTTATGATAATAGATACTCAATTCTGTAAAAAACTCTTTCTATTGATCCTCTAACTATATACAAAAAAGATGTTTGCAAGAAGTTTTATACTTCCTTACTAATAAAGTCTTTATACTTTTATTAAAATAACTTGAAACTTGTTTTTATTTATCTCTCATACTCTCCCTTACTTGTTTATAAACTTTTTTGAATAAAAACTCAAGCCTTTAATGGCTTGAAAAGACTCAAGTATATACTTTCTCTACTAAAGGCAAGAAGGTTCTAAAAAATAAAAGACTGACAAGTGGAGTATTATCTTATAGAGCTGGAAGAAACAAGAAATAGAAGTTCTATTGATAGGAGAAGGTTTATTTTTCATCTTCTTATATACTGTTTTATACCCTCTTAAAGTACTTACTGTTTTTCATAGTTTTCTTGGAGAATTTTGTCTACTTCAGTTTGACCTTGAATTTTTGATAGTATAATATCACCTGGCATCTGATTGATTGATATGAAACATATTAGTGACTGAATATAAACAAGTTTCTATTGGTTACCTTACATATTTTGATGACATCATTGGTAATTGAAAGATAAATCAAGTATATGAACTTCTTTAAATGAAGTTTAATTGAAGCAAAAAAATCATAAGGCCATTAGAATAGGCATTAAATTCCTAGATGATAAAAAGATGATTATTTGTTTAAGCTAAGGCTTTCAATTTCTTATTATCCCAGTCAGATAAAGTATGCGAAGAAGTTTATTTCCTTATCCTAGTCAAGTTATAAAACTAAAAAGTAGAGAAATGTAAAATACTGCTTTTCTCTAGGATTGAGAATGTATTTCTCCAGACATTATATAATGATATCACAATTAAGATGAATACCAGTAAAATTTCTTTAACTAGGTGTGACTATGGATTGAGAGTTATTCAACAAGATTGAAAAGTTATATAAGTACCTGGAGTCCACTATTAGTTGTTTTCTTCTGCATAAATGGATACAAAATCAAAACCCAAAGAAAGTAAATGTTAAGCAAAACACTGGATCTAAGTAGGTGATAAGTATTTCAGACAATTATAAGAAAATAATCAAAAATATGGATGGATAAGTTTTTCAGATGATCAAGAAGAAGAAAGATATTATAGAAGGGTTGATTTCTAATGAGAAAAGGTTTTTAGTAGAGATCCTTTAGAAAACATGAAGCATTTTTAATTTTTTTTTTTTTTCTTTTTCATGTAGTGCATTTGCATATTTTTAGATATTTCCCTTTCCTTTTATTTTTTCTTTGCCCTTTTATAGTTTCTCAAATTCAGTTCCTTGGAGAATAATAAGCAGTGATAACCTGCTGGCAATGATGGAAGGTCTTTACCCAAAACTTAGTTCAGAGTAAAATATTATATCCAAGATTGCACTTAAAGGTTGAAGCTCTTTTGAGAATTGAAAGTCATTGATAAGTGTATCAATACAAGTTTTTTAGTTTAACCATGATGCAATTATCTTATATATCTCTATCAGTTTTCATAATGATTAATAAAAACACATTACTGGCCTGACCATGGGTTATAAAAAAAAAAAAAAAAAAAAAAAAAAAAAAAATAGATACTCAATTCTGTTTTATCATTATCATTATCTTTTAAAAAATTATTTATGATTTTTTTAATATATGATATATAATTCTTTGTTTCACAAATTAAAAAAAAAAATAACATCCAGTATTGGTTTTATTAATTAATAGTTAAGTTGATTTGTGCAGTTTATGACATTTGTAATATAAAGTAATTACAATAAAGATAGCCTGACTGCGGATTAAAAAAAATCACCATTATTATTTTTTTTTTTTGATTTACTAAGATTTTTACTAATTGAAAAAGATTCATTGATTTAATATTATCAGTATTACGAAAATACGATCTTTGCTTTTTTTTTTTGGTTATTATTCTTTATTAGATTAAGACAATGAAATTAGGTGTCAGCTTGAACAAATTATTTTCGTGATCCAAGGATAATCGAAAATAAAATCGTATCTTTAAAGATTGTGAGTAGTAAGTAATAGGAACCATATGAATCCGGTGTCCGGGATAGAATGAATTCGGATTTCATAATTTGCATTATTAATCAGCGCATTTGTTTTGAATGCCTAACAACGAATCTACACCCGGTGCGACATTACTGATTGATCGACGGACGATGAATACCCTCTCACAATGGACATAAACAATAATGTTGAGATGTAAAGCATCACGAATTTGACGGGTATAACTAACTGCACGTGGGCTGCAAATGTTAATTACTTCAAATAAATTCCATTGTGTCTAAGAAATTCGTTCGAGTAATATTAATCAACAATAATTATTATTATTAATTACGAAAGTAAAAAAAAATGTTTCTTTTTAAAGAGTATGTGACAATAATAAATCAATCAATTAATCGATTTTTTCGAATTTTTCAACTCCATTAGCATTCAGACTGCTTCCGCCGACATCACGGGGTGACTTACTTAAAGGAACTTCAGAAAATCCCGACTCGTAGTTTATCGTGCCTAAATGTTTTTTTCCAAGGATCACGCCAAGTGGCACATTCTCCTCCTCGTCATCCTCTTGCGTTTCATCACTTTCACCTTTTTCATTATCATACCCTTTATATAAATCGACATTTTCAGGCGTATCAACCTTTTTTCTATTATAGTTTCGATTTGAATTATTAATCATTCTTTCTTCACCATAATCATCATTCCCGAGCCCCATGTATTCAGGATAATCGTCATCATCAAAATCATCTTGCAATTTATCCTCGCCATTCGAGAATTCGTCGCTGCTGGAGTACAATGTGCTTCCATCAGAGGGATCGTTACCACCATTATCATTTTCACCATAATAATTATTGTCATCATAATTAATTCGGTGCCTATGATCTTCAGTCAACATTGCTCTCTCTTCTAAAGATATATTGCGAACTATGTACCCCTCACTGTCCCTTCTTACAAATCGATATTGGCTATTACGCCGGTGTGAAGAAGAATTATTATTTGAAGATTTTTGACTATAATTAATGCGATCATATTGATTATGATTATGATTATAATGTTCCCAAGGTTTTGGTTGTCGTTGTGAAGTCGCCTTCACATTTGGATCTTTAGGGGGCCAAACGAGAGAAGGGTCTAGACAAGGCAAATTGGATTGCGTGAGTTATTGTGCAAATTCAAGTGAAAACCCCGGTGCCCGACACCATATCAAATTTTTCAATTTCGAAATATATACACGTCGTGAGAAATAGTCGCGAAATCCAAATAATCCTACGAACCTAAGTCCGAAATAATTTAGATATAAAAGCTGACCCTTCGAATCAATAAATTTATTTTTAAACTACGTAGTCCATTTCCATGTCCGATTCCTCAGCCGTACCTGCATCACTCGAAATCGGAAAAGACAATCCATTCCCTTTAATCTGTTGCGGCCAACACCACAGCAATGGATTGTCCCCGAGAATTGCTTTAATATTTTCTAAAATTCCTACGTCATATGGAAACACCACCTGTTTTCGAGGAAAGATTGCAAAAAAAAAAAAGAAAAGAAAAAAGAAGAAGAAAGAAGAGGGGATGAGAAATTTTCTTGGGATTTCATCAAGTCAGGGCTATCGTAATTCATTAATCACAAACCTCTTTGATTTTTCCTCTGCGAACCATGGTCGAAACCCTATCCTTCTCCCAATTCTCAATTGTTGTGGTGTTCGACCACATGCAATAAAAATGATATATGCTTAGTATGCCAACGGAAAAGAGTACAGGAATGACAGCAGCGTAGTTCAGAACTATGAAAACCATTTCGATCGTCGTCGGCTCGTTACCGAACTACAGAGGAGACGATTAGTCTCTTACGAAATGCGAGAAGAAAAAAAAAGAACACAAACGTCAACTTGTAAAACATACCCTGATCATCGTCATGTCATCAATTATTTGCATGGTTCTCTTTACCATCAGTGTGAAATGATACATGCATGATATGTCCACCCAAAACACAAATCGTATAAAATGCCCGTAATTGAAGTATCCCACACAGTTATTTGTCCACGGACCTTTATGAATTAAAAAAAAAAAAAAAAGAAAAAATTAATCATAATTTTTGTGCAGGAATATCAAAGAAGGGAGGATCACACTCACAATGGTGATCCATTTTCAGCACGCATCTACATGAATATGATAAACGGGATTATTAAAGTTGATAAATTCATCGATGTTTACCAAGATGGACCCATCTGATATTACCTTTTACAAGTCCGACAATGATGTGATCTAGGCGGTTTAAAAGCCATGCAGGTCCGACAATACCTAGGTGCATGCGTCGTTCTTTTTATTTCCATGTTATCCTGGTCATCATTGGGACACTTTTCAAGAGAAAGTGAAATTTATGAGATTTTCAAAAATCGATGAAGTGAGTTCATCAACTGACAATCAATTAAAAATTTACCCAATCCTTTGGCACTCTTCCCGGGTCAGTCTTGCACGTCATGTAGTAGTTGTAAAACGTCAGCAAAACCGAAATGTTGAAAGGAATTAAGACCGTCAAGCAATGGACGTTAAAACCGCCAAAAAAGTCCCAGAAAATAAAAAATTGACTGCTATATGCTAAAAAACTAATAAGCAGGGTAACCCCAATTATGAAAAGATGACCGGTATCAACCATTTTTCGAAATTAAGGCTCGTCAAAATAATGATAATAATAATAAACGAAACAAAAAGAAAATCTAATGTCTAAATATATAATAAATAAAATCACGGATGCAAGTTATTTAGGATGGACATTTTGGCAATCCTTTTTATATACAGTCATGGAAACCGAAAATTACGTGAGCACTCCTGCTCGTGTAACAGTTGCTTTTATAAATGGAGTAACAGAGGGTCATCATGGATCATGGATAAATCCAAAAGACTTGCGGTAAGCGGAGGAATTTCCAAGAATTCCAATATCTCCGATATTTCCAGACCGTACGCAAGAATTCCACCCCCAGATCAAGAGCCTCAAAAAAGTGATACATTGATCCCTTGTTTCTTTCCTTTCTCCTGCTGCTCTGACATTTTCTTGTTCGCTCGACAAAACAGAGTTGAAAAAGAGGACGCCACAAAGACCAGCCACCGTTCCCACAGACATATACGTTTCGCGCAAATCAAACTTTAGGGGTCAACTGTTCCGAGCAAAGAAACTCTTATTGCAGGATGGGTACATATTTCGGTCGTTCTAATTATGCCAGCTCTCGTGAACCCACAGGTTTTCGAAAGCCTTAAAATTTATCAATTATAGACAACCTTCGATAACAATTCACGGGTTAGGAGCAGCGATACAGAAATCGATCGATCTAGTGTTGACCTTGAGTGATTTGATGCAAAATCAAATCGTATATAAAGCCACAACCGGTACCGTCGAACTGGTGGATGACATCATACCGGAAGACGACGTAAACCAATTTAACTTGCTATCTATGGTACGGTGAAAAAAATATTTTATCTATTAACGTGACCTACGTTATCCTTGTAGGATAAGGATTTGGAAACTCAGACAAGGAATAATTCCAGTGTTCGCATCCAAGTGTCCCTGCACAAAGATGTCAAGAGACGCGTTTTAACACAAAAGGGTCGGTCATCATACAAGTCCAAATAATTTCTATTGGTACCGTGTGATGATTAGTTTCTTGTTTTCAATCGCTTTGTGAAGCGCATCGTTAGATATCCGAGATTTAAAACGTCAACAATGATTGGTGACTGCATTGTACCATTAATGTTAACGCTAATCTCAAAAAAAAAAAAAAAAAGAAAAGAAAAAAAAAAAAAAGGAAAGAAAAGAGGGAGCGCGAGAAATGTTGCTAAGTGTTTGGTATTTAATTAGTCGTATATATTTCTCGATATTGGTTCATACTTTCCGGGAGTCATTATAGAAATGAAACCGTATAATACATAGATGATAAGGTAAAGCAAATTAATTAAAGGGAGCTCAATAATCTTGCGTGATTGCTTCACCGTCGTATTGCCGAAAATTATTAAACCGCAAGTCCGCAAAAATCACGGCAGTAGAAAAATAACCATAAAATATTTGGACGCATATTTATATATATATTGAAGTAATGAAATTTATCCATACGATAATATCTTAACCTAATATGCGACAATGACAAAAAACATTGGGTCAATATTGTGTCCATTCTTCCTCGTCATCTCCGTCATCCTCTCCGAATTCCACTGCATTTGCATTGACGACTTCACTGTGCTCATCGTCAAACTGTGTCTCGTCCTGAGCTTCAGCTTTAACTTCTGCATAGTCACCATGATCATAATCGGACCCATATTGTTGTACTTCGTCATCCAGAACTTCGGTTTTAACTTCGGTATAGTCATGATCATTCCCGTTAATGCTACCCAAATTTCCTTGTTCTACTTTAACGACGAGGTCCTCCTTCTTTTTCAGATGATCGGTTAAATACTTATTCATGGTGAAACTGTGGATTCGTTCGTGCTTAAATATGCTCATCAATTTTTCGTCACAAACAATGTATCGCTTATCATTTGGATCTTGCAGTTCATTTTCCTTAATGTACATCCAAAGACGTTTTACCACTTCTAATCGAGATAACTGAATGCGCATTATGCATAGGAGGAGGCGGAATATACGTACATGTGTTTCTTTAATTAATGAATATTATAAAAAAGAAAACAACAACGTACCTATTGGAAATTATTGAAGCTCACCTCTTCGGCATTCAAAAATTCGGATAACACTGGACTCAGGATCAATGGTTTATGAATTCCGGTAATTCCTTTTCTCTTTTTCTTTTCATCGTTGCCCTCATCTTCGTCTTTCCTCTTTCTCTTGTGTGATGATTTCTTCTTCGATTTCGTCTTTTTTCCGTTAAGTTCCTCCTCAAACCTTCTCGCATATTCAACATCCGAATCAATTGGGGAACTCTTGCGCTTCCTACCTCGTTTTCCTTTTGGTGTTGGTTTCTCGTCCTCCAGGGACGAATAGTCGGACATATCATACTTGACCCTTGATTTCTGCGATTTCTTACTTTTCGATTTACTTTTTTCACGCGACTTTACAGAGGACTTGTGTCGTCTATCGCCCGTGTGAACATGTTTCTCTTCTTTTTTAACCTCTACTTCCTCTTTTACCACAACCTGATCCGTATCGCTATCACTAATCTTTATATCCAAGTCGTCAAAACACTTCTCGACAAGCCGTTGCACTTCATGTTTCCTAGAAGTGAGATCCACCTTATATTCCTGTTCTAATTTTAGGCGCACATCCCTAGCAGTGATCTCTAAATGATCGGAAGTCATAAGTATCTCCTTGATAGCAGGAATATATTCTGATATATCAATGTCCGCCATTTTTTCTTTTATTTAAGTCACCTGCCTAGTCTATATCACTTTCCTCCTTCCTTGCGATTTATAAAGAAGGGACAAAAAATTGACGAGGATAATGATACTAAACTTTTGGAACAATCCACGATTCAACACAGTTTGCAATTATCGGTGAAGTGTGTGAGATTGTGCGATATTTATACATTGCCATAAGCCACAAAAATATACTGTACATATGTACATGCATACAGTTTGTTATTCAACAATTGTAGTACAACATAAGAACTGTAGATATTTGGTCCTCCTTTTATGGTCTTTTGTATTAGACAAGATTATGCACTTGTTAGTCCAATATCAAGTCAGGTTCGAGAACATTCAGTGTTCTCATATAAAACAACTTCTCTCTCTTCTTTCATCGTTGGCTTGCGTTTTTTTTTTTTGATTTTTTTTTAATCTACCGCTTTTTCAGTCACCCTTCTATATTTGGAATAATGGGAGGCTCTTAGGTGACCTATCAGAAAAGAAGTAGGCTTAAAAAAAAAAAAATAACCAAGCAAATTCTTTGCCGAAATTACGCGGATCGACAGAAATCATTCACTAAAAATGGAAGGAATTATGTAAACTGCCGAATTGAGTTTTTCCAATTGGACATTTCCGATTAACTATAAACGTAATGTATTGACGATATCAAATACCATTCACTTCACCGATTTCCATAGGTGAATGGTTTTTTCTCAGCAATCAATTCACGACTATAAAGGATTAACGCATGTTGCCAAATACACCACCAACTTCTCTTATCTCCTGATCATTATTTATCAAACTGCAGAGTTATTGACAATAATTAATTAATCAAAAATACCTATTTTGTCGTAAAAGTAGAAAATAAAGTTTTCTGGATCTGCTGTTTCTTGCTTATTTATTTTTTCTCGAAATAAATTAAATCAATCCGTACATTGTGTATGGTTGATCTAAAAAGGGTATACGCACCCTTTGACATATAAAGATAAGAAGCATGGCATTGGGCGTGCGAGTAAAGTGATGTTGAGACAAACAATACCACAGCAATTTGTTATATTACCTATCTTCATTCGTCATTAGTAACCAATTTTTGATCAAACTATAAATCATGCCCGATTAAAAAGATTATTTCTGACGTTATGTATGTTAAAAGAAATTTCTTATAGCATAGCAAGATGTGATATGGTGCATCGAATAATAACTTTCGATTTATCCGACATCATTATTGTAGAAAAAGTTTACAGTACTTACTGCATATCAAGTATTATTAAGCATTTTGAACCAAATAAATATTAAACTTTCATACTTAATTTGTTTATTTATTATCGATGATACATTTTTCTAAATATAACTTGGAATAAATGCATCAATTCCTTTGTAACTTGAATTATTCTTAAATTACTCAGATTAAATTTAGAATTTTTGAAAATTTTTAATCTACAATAGTATTCAAATTTTTTCAAAAAAAAATTTAATAATTATTAATCTGAAAAATAAATATAAATTAAATATATAGTAGTGCAAAAAAAAAATAACAATTGATTTTTTAAAAATTATTTTGATAAATACTTATTTAAATATAATAAACTTTTAAATATTAATAAATAAAAATATAATAATTTAAATATAATGAACTTTTAAATATAAATAAATAAAAATTTAAAAATTTAAATATAATAAATAAAAATATAATAATTTAAATATAAAAACTTTTAAATATAAATAAATAAAAATGTAATAAACTTTTAATATAAATAAATAAAAATTTAAAAATTTAAATATAAAAACTTTTAAATATAAATAAATAAAAATATAAAAATTAAACCAATCATATTAAAGTTTTAAGAATTATAAAAATTTGTTTGATTATAATTTAATATCAAAAAAAAATTTTTTTGAATAAATATTTGTTTATAATATAAATATTTTTATCAATAGAAACAAACTATTAACAATAATTCTGATAGTTAAAAGTCAAATTCAAACTTACAAAGAAGTATAATATTGTTTCTTAAATCTAATTTAAAATACGTGATAAAACTTAATTTTATTTAATCTAAATTGAATTAATGAATTTTTCATATTTTAAGTAATATAATCCTTAAATTAATAATATATAAAGATAAGTTGATTATTATATAAAAGGTAAAACCTATAAAATCTTTATTTTTTTTATTTTAAAAAAATTTTACTTTAATTTTAATTTATTTTATTTAAAATTGCAATAAAGTTAAATATAAACTTTATTAAAAATTAACTTAATATTATAAATAATATATCTTTCAAATATAATATTAATTATTTCACTAATCTCTAATTTTTTAAAAATTTTCTTTTTTGATAATTTTATTAAAAAACAAGAAAAGTTAGCTTTACATACAAGAAAACAAATACTTTTATATACAAAATTTTTCTATACTGTATATAATTTCTTTCTTTACAAAAGAAAGAAAAATATAAGGATATGGATTTACAGTAAGTTTTTTGAGATTCAACCTCAATTTCACAAGCTCTCAATCAGGTTAATGCAAAATATCATCTTTTTGAATACCAAAAGAAGTTATGTAAACAATAATTCAAGTTGATAAATTAGTTTAAGCTCAAGGTTTACAACATTTGGGAGGATATTCAAACTTTGTTTTCTTAATAAAATAAAATTTCAAAATAACATAACAATTAATTACATTTTAAATATATAATATGAAATCTGTCATATCTATACTTTTATAATAACAAGCTTATATTACAAATATAAACTCCAAACAAATATATTTTTGTTTATAATCACATACATCATATATATTTTTAGATTTGATAAACAAAAATCAATTATCTTTAAATAAAATTTGCAATAACAAATAACAACTATTTATTTTTCGTGACATATAAACTTTAGATTATATCATTTACTAAAACAATTAATAAGTTTTTTTGTATTACATGATCTAGACATATTAATAAAAAAATATAGAATAATACAAGTTATAAAAAAAAAGAAAGCCTATATCATAGATATATTAATTTGACTTTCAAACAAATTCGATCAATACAAAAAACTTATTAATTGTTTTAGTAAATGATAT